TAGACAGATAACCCAAAGATTTGGGAGGGGTCTGGGCACAGTTAGTCACAAGATGGGTGAGGTTGCAGACGCCATGTACTCCTTTGCCCAGACGGTTGTTGCGGCAAAGGATCCGGTGTACACAAAAATCCATCCTAGGTTCGACGAATTCAAACCCTACTTTGACGGGTGCATAGGGGCTTTGGATGGAACACACGTCAAAGTCAAAGTTAGTCACAAGTCATGGTTGGACTTCATGAATAGAAAAGGAGATGTTACCATGAATGTGTTAGGGATAGTGGACATGGACGGCCTATTCACATATGTCGGTGCGGGAACGGAGGGGTCTTCTCATGACATGTCGGTGCTGACGGAGTGTATGCGAAGACCAGATTACCCGCATCCCCCAGCAGGTAATCTTGTTTTATCGTTGAGTACGTTGTCAGATTGTATGAATACCTTTGTGATTAATGGTTGAAATGATTGATGAATTGCATGAAGATACTACCTGGTGGACGCTGGATACACCGTGCGTGTAGGATATTTGGGGCCATATCGGAATACAAGGTACCATCTTGATGACTTCAGAGGCAGAGAGGCGGAAGGATATATGGAGACGTTCAACTACCAGCATTAAGGCTTAGCAATGTTGTGGAACAGGTGTTTGGGAAGCTTAAAGCTCGGTGGCACATTTTGGACGGAGTACCAAAATATGTGAGAGATAAGCAAGTGAAGGTGGTAGTTGCATGTTTTGCTCGGCACAATTTTGTGGAGGGTGAAAACGAAGGAAGGGCTGCGGCGAGGAACATTCATAGGCCTGTAGATTACAACCTGTCAGCATGGGCGGTATCAGTTGAAAGTGATGATATCGCACGAGTGCGAGATTGGATCGCTATGGAACTATGGGCTATGTAGTGCACAGGTAAGGCCACTTATGCTGCTGCATAGGAGAAGCAATTTTGATACATTTACGTTTCACTGTTTGTTCAATTATAGTAGTATGGCAATATGGATAGAAGCAGGTTTTGACATGTTGTGAAGTTACTGGTGTATGTGGATCCGATTTGAATGTGTGCACCTGCAGGTGAGGCCGTGTGGTGGAGGCGAGGTCTAAGTGGATTGGAGGATGGCAAGAAGACCAAGTGATGGTTGGGTAAGCGACTTTTGCATGGAAACAGGCTTCCTGCTTATTCTTATGTGCCTTGAAAATGGTACAAATTTTGTATAGATTTGTTAGATGTAGAGGAATGGTAGGAAATGGAAATAGTAGGATTTTATGCCAATGTAGGTACATGTTGTACGTGGAGTACACGCGCAGATTTGAAGGTACATGTTTCTGTAGTTGTTGCACATGTTTTTTTGCAACTGCTACTAGTTTTGTAAATGCTCCACTAATCCCCAACTAGTAGTGTTATGGATAACTGTGGTATGTACTGTTGTAATGAATTGTTGTAATGAGTTCTTAGGAATTCCAATGAACTGTTGTAATGCATGTAAATTGGTTTATGAGACAACTGTGATATGTACTGCTGTTGTAATGAACTGTTATTTCAATGGTCTTGGAAGCACACTTGAGTTGTAATGAAGTGCTATTAGAACTGGTAGTTAGTAACTGGTATGTGTTAATGTGCATACTTGTTGTGGGGCGTGTATTTGAATGGGCCTGTTACTTGGCACCAACTTTTGAATTGGTGTGGTTGATTGGCGCCAATATTTGATTTGAACTGAGTACTTTCAAATGAATGCTTGAGCTGATGCTTGGTTGGCTGGTGGTGGGCTGATTCAAATCGGCTGATTGACCAGCAGTAGGTTCAGATCAGCCAGTAGTAGGCTAGCCGAACACGTTGTTAAAGTACTTTTTTTAGCTTTGCTGACGTGATGATGGGACCATATGTCATGTGATCTCTCTCGTTCTCTTATATATAAAAAATCATAATTTTTCATATAAAGTCAGATCAATACAAACTTTATATAAAAATTATAGAGCTTAATGCGGCATACAACTTTGTAGTTTGGAACTTTTTTTATTTAAGATCTTATAGAGGCTCAAATGTTCGGGTTAAGTTATCAGATTTCGAATTTTTCAAATGACCTAGGATGTTAACATAGGCTATACATAATTTGTAACTCTCAATACGATCTACACTTTTGTTGTTGATAATTTCTTTTATTTGAGATCGTTTAGAGGCTCAAATATTTATTTTAAGTTCTTAATTTTGTTTTTTTTTATTTTTTCAAACAACCTTGGATGTTTGTATTATGGTCTATGAAAAAAGTTTTAGCTCGAAATGTGACCTAAAGATTTGTAGTTAACATTTTCATCTGAGATCATTATTATTGAAAGTGGGAGCATGAAAGGTAATTTTCCCGTCCTGTTATGCATTATAAGCAATTAGGGACAAGGTCAATAGATGTGATTTTTTTTTAAAAAAAATCTTGTTTGCTTAACTGTGTATCGGTTGTTGTGTGTTCTTTGAGGATAAGTGCCTTCTGATTTCACTTGTTCAAGGTAATCGTATCCGTGTTAAATGGAAGTTTCTGTGTTTGTCATATTTAAATCGACCATCAAGATAAATGCTATGCTAATGAGCTACAGCACAGCTGAAGTTGCTCTAAGATGAATTTGTGCTTAAGATGAAATTGTAGAAGCAATCATCTTTCGTAATTTCAGTAAGGCCCATTTGGATCCTTGAATTGAATTCATTTTAATAATCATAATTTAGATATATATACACACAAAAATGTGACACTGAGATGCTAATATGGTTGTATATGGAATATATTTGTATATTATTATTGGCTATACGAGAACGATATTTATGTGTTGCATTTCTGCTGTAGGGGAGCGAGTTGAAGAGCGTGTTATAAGTTGCAATGTAGAAACATAGAATGATGATCTATAGAATCAATTTTCAGCTCTCACCCTATGAACTTGAGATAGACTTATATATAAACTTTGGAAAGTGGTGGAATATCAAATTCTAAGCCAAATAGTCTAATTTATTAAGTATATTTTAATTCCTCCAAAGGAAAGAATCTAAACGGTCTGTAAGATTATTCTGCTGCTGTTGCTGCTGCCTGCTGGTGGGTCACAAGCTTATCCTGCTGCTGCTGCCTATGCACCTTCCGCGATGGCACCTGGAACTCAGACAGCAGCAACATTCCCCAATCCAGCTCAACTTACTATAGACATATATACACACAAAAATGTGACACTTAGATGCTAAATTTTAAATACAACCCTACCAAGAAAAAGTCATCAAAATGTATCTATTTGTTATATGCTCTTACATTCACTTTGTCTCACTGTCAGGTACCTGGGCTACTAATAGTAATAGCTAATGGGTTTAGGACTTGGGCCTGCGTGCCTTTACTGGTTGGGCTTGGCCCATGTATGGAGTACTATATCTACCCTTGGCTAAGAGAGATAGAGATGATCAATCAAGAATATTGTAATCAACTCCTATCCTAAACTTCCCCCTCTTCTAAAGGAAACTTTCCTCTGTTCTAAGAGAAACTCTGAACTCCTCCTTCCTTCTCTTCTTCTTCTTCTTCCTCTCCAATCCCTATTGATCCTTTGATTCTCTACCTTTCTATCTTCACAGCTACCTGGTTGCTAACACTCACCCTCCTAATTTCATCTCCCCAGTTCAGATTCATTGAACAAGCAGTCATGCTCATAGCTTGGATAAACTTGGTGTCTGTAACTCGATCAAAATAGATGTAGTCCTCTGAAAGTATGCCCACCAAACAAGCTATAAGATCCCCGTGACTAATGATTCGTGCATTGGTGATAGTATGCCTCCCCAAAGCCATCTTCTCAAAATCCATGTCGCCTTCAAAGAAATTGTGAGTTGGATGCAGAATCCTAGTCCCTTCAAACTCACAGTAAACGAGTTTTTTTAAGAAAAAAAATATGAGAAGAATTAATATAGAGCTTTAGCATAGAAACATAAGGATTAAATTCGTATTTTAAGAAAATGCCTTAAAATATGAGATGTATCTGGTGCAGTAATTAAATACATACCATTTTTTGAGAGACTTAACACATGCTGACAAAACGACCAGTGATGCTCTTTATCTTCATCGTCATTACTAGCTTGGAAAAAAGGTAAGACTTCCATCTTTTGGTTTCGCCCAAAAATTCACATGTGAATATGGGTGTAAATCCCTGAAGTTTCGCCAAGTTTTTTTGTTGCCCACACTTCCATTCGCAGCGCAAATGAAACTGAGTTCATAAGGCTCCTACAGTCACACATGTAAAATAAATAAATAGGCACTCTGTGATATTACAGGATATAAACAAGGTGAAAAGGTAAATTTACTCGAAGTCCTTAGTAGAGAATAGAAGAGGATCTAACCTCAGTTTGTTCATTATATTTCTACAATATAACTTATAGTTTTTTCACGAACAAAATTATGTTGAGAGAGAAAGTTCTCTTCGTAGCCTGAAACCATTTCAAAGGCGTCCATTGTCAGTTCATCCACTGCCTCCCGTGGTTCATAAACGTAGCTCGTTGAAGATGCGAACAATGCGGAGAGTTGAAGAATATTGCAGGAAGAGAGTGTTTATGTAGTCAACAGTTCATTGACACTAGCCTGCACCATAGTCACATAAAACCGATTCACCACCTTCGACCCTTGACCCGGGTTCACGGGTTCATTTTCGATCCAGTGTAAAAATCTCTCGCGAGTAGTGTACCACGTACTAGGACCCCGTACCTCGACCCCATCGACCCAGAAACTTTGTGAATATGGCCTGCAAGCGATTCCATCGCAAACTTCACATATGCCTCAGGTTCAGGATGATATGATGCATCTGCAGCAGCTTTGTAAGCAGCAGCATCACAGCAAGTTGTGTCGAATCCATCCGCCTTGCCATCCCAATTGCTTGAGGAAGTTCTAGATTACTCTTGAGTAAATAAACCATTGCATCATGTTCACTCAGGTTATAAGTACACGCAAGCAACAAGTGGATGAGACCATCCAAGGACCGAGACTCAGCAGGATCCGAGTGCAAATCATGTCGAGCTTGAATTCTTTTGGTGCAGGGAATGCGGTGTCATACCAGATAGTGTTGACAATGATATTGAAGATAGGATTGAATTGACAATGATATTGAAGATAGGATTGAATGGACCATAACAGTAACCGGCCTTGAGGAGGCCACGGTGGTGCCGACTCCAGAAATCTTCAATTGGCAAAGCAGAAATTGCTTTGAGATATACAAAATGGATTCTGTCAAGAAGAAGGCCTCGCATTGATTGTATCGGCATGGGTGAAACCTTCATCTCATACTGATGATACCGCATAGCAGCAAGATCCATATGATCCTTGGACTTCTTCATCCTGAGTGGCTTCTCCAGCAGTCCAGCCATCTTGGCCACGTCTTGAACGAGATGCTACATTCCGTGGACACAATTTGGATGAGGTGAGACACTAGCATAGCCGAGCCGGTGAGGAACGCATCAACACTGGGCAGCCTCGCTGACAGAGCAGCGCATTTGAGAGCCGTCCTGACGGTGTTACGATCTCAGATGAATCCTGGTATTTCGAGTAGCGTATTACAGAGTTTCAGACGGAAAGCAGGAACGGAGCAGAGGAGGGATAGTAGAGCACGAGGGCCAGAAGTTAGAGGAAGTTTGTAGGAGGATGCAAGTGATTACAATTATCTTTCATGCCCCCCTCGACTCACAACCGATCCGTATATAGGATGCCGAGATCACGCCTTGGCCCATTCACCGGCCGAGACACGCCGGTTAGGAATTCTGGGCCGACTGGACCATCATAGCTGCGGCCCATTCTCCCGCAGCAGCCTTTGTTCCTCTTCAGCTTCTAGTGCCGGATATACCACAGTAGAAGATGCAGGCGTAACATTCCCCCTTCCTTGCGCGCCGAGCCGGTCCTAGACGGTGGCGTGGGGAAACTGTTGCCGAAGAAACTCCAAGTCCTCCCAAGTAGCAAGAGACTTTGGCAGGTTAGACCACTGAATCAAACCTTGAGAGATAGAACGCGTACCCTTGGTGATGAATCTTGTCTGAAGAATCCGGTTAGGAATGCTCCACAGGACCGCCTCAGAAGGTGGATGACTGGTGACAGAATGATGAGGTCCCACCGACTTCTTGAGCTGTGAAACATGGAATACCGGGTGCACCGAAGAAGAAACCAGAAGTTCCAGTTTGTATGCCACCACTCCCACGCGAGCCAATATACGGAATGGTCCGAAGAATTTGAAGGCCAGCTTCTGATTGCTGTGCGAAGCCAAGGAAGATTGCACATAGGGCTAAATTTTAACGAATACCAGATCACCAATCTGAAATTGTCGCTCGGACCGATGCTCATCAGCTTGCTTCTTCATGCGTTGCTCAGCGCGATTCAGATGCTGGCGGATCACCTCCGACATCAAGGCTCGATCAGACAACCAAGTATCCAAGTCAGGAATGTCGGTGCCTGAAGAACTGGCAATGCCAAAGTGGCGCGGTGCATGACCATACAACACCTCAAAAGGAGAATGCCCAAAGCTGAGTGCCAATTGGTGTTGTACCAGAACTCAGCTTGATCCAACCACTGTCGCCACTGATGTGGGCAAGCATGCACGAAGCAACGCAGGAACGTCTCCAGACATTGATTGACCCATTCGGTTTGTCCATCCGATTGCGGATGATAAGCAGTACTCATCCGCAGCTCAACTCCAGCCAACTGAAACAGCTCACGCCAAAAATGGCTTGTGAAGACTTTATCTCGATCTGAGACAATGGCTTGTGGCATACCGTGCAACTTATACACATGAGATATAAACGACTGAGCCATTGAACGTGCAGTGAAAGGATGCTTAAGAGGCAGAAAATGGGCATACTTGGAAAAAAGATCGACAATCACCAGGATGCAATTAGAACCTTGTGATGATGGCAGTCCTTCAATAAAATCCATGGATACCACGGACCAAGCATTGTCAGGCACCGGCAACGGCTGTAACAAGCCGGGCAGCTTGGAACGGTCCGGTTTAGCTTGTTGGCAGACCACACAAGCTGCTACAAAAGACTGAACGGCTGACTTCATGCCTGTCCATGCAAAGATTTGCTTCAATCGATGATAGGTGACGGAAACACCGGAGTGCCCACCAACAACAGTAGAGTACACCGCTGCAATCAGACGAGTCTGCAACTCAAGATCAGCACCCACCCAAATACGACATTTGTAGCGCAACAGTCCATCATGAAGAGTAAAGTAAGTGACTGAATCCGGTGCCACAACCAACTTGGCAAGCAATTCTTGGGCTCGCGCATCATGAGAGTATGATTCCACCACAGCCTCCAATCACTGAGGCTGACAAACTGAGAGCGCGGCCAAATGTGCGGAAGGACAACGGGAGAGGGCATCAGCCGCCCCATTATCCGCGCCCTTGCGGTAGACAATCCGGTACTACAACCCAATGAGTTTGGTGAAGACTTTTTGCTGCCAAGGTGTGTGAAGCCTTTGATCGGTCAACTGTACCAGACTGCGATGATCGGTGATGATCTAAAACTCGGCATGCTGTAGATAACTGCGCCAGTGTTCTAGTGCCAACAAGATAGCCATATATTCCTTCTCATATGTGGATAACCCTTGCAAGCGGGGTCCCAAGACTTTGCTAAGGAATGCCAAGGGATGACCCCCTTGCATCAGGACAGCTCAATTCCAGTACCGCTGGCATCAGTCTCCACTACAAAAGGGCGACGGAAATCAGGCAGAGCCAACACCAGGGCGGTGGTCAGAGCGTGCTTAAGAGCTGAGAAGGTCTTGTCCTGGCTATCTGTCCAAACATATATAGCTCCTTTTCAAAGAAGATCTGTCAAGGGTTTGGATAGGATGCCAAAGTGCTTAACAAAGCGTCTGTAGTAACCGACAAGTCCCAAGAAACTACGCAATTCTTTAACTGACCGTGGAACAGGCCATTGCAGGACCGCCTGCACCTTATCAGGGTCAGTGGCCACACCTTTCTCAGAAATCACATGCCCCAAGTAACGAAGCTGGCGTTGGGCAAAGTGACATTTGGACATCTTCACCTGCCAGTGATCCTGCTGAAGCAACTGAAAGACCAACCGCAAATGCTCAACATGTTCTTCATAGGAATGACTGTAAATGAGAATGTCGTCAAAGAAAACCAATACACATTTGCGCAATAGAGGGGATAGAGTAGTGTACATGGCCTTGAGAAAGGTGGCTGGAGCTCCTGTGAGACCAGAAGCCATGACACGAAACTCGTAATGGCTGGTGTGAGTTTGAAAAGCAGTCTTGAATTCCTCCCCACTCTTCAACCTAATCTGATGGTATCCTGCTGTCAGATCGAGACAAGAAAACCAAGATGCATGTGTAAGTTCATCGAGAAGCTCTTCAATGACTGGTACTGGATATTTAGCTTTGACGGTGATGGCGTTGAGTTGTCTGAAATCCACACAAAAGCGATATGTGCCATCCTTCTTGACCAGTAACACTGAGGAAGAAAATGGACTAGAACTGGGCTGGATCAAGCCGGCGTGCAACATTTCAGTCACTTGACGTTCAATTTCATCTTTGGGCAAGGGAGAGTAACGATAGGGCCTGACAGAGAACGGGCTGGCTCCCGGTATCAATGGAATGGCATGGTCACAATGGCGTGCCGGTGGATAGCTAGTCGGAGGAGCAAAGACAGACTGAAACTCTGTTATGAGTGCTGCAATCTCAGGCGGAACAGGTTCCGAACTTGCCACAGTAGCATCCGACAGCATAGTGGTCACCTGAATGACAGAACCGACAGGTAGACTCATCAACTCACCTTGTAATAAACTGTGGCCTTGACCATAGGGAATTATCATCCATTTGCTATGCCAATCCACCTGCATCGGACTGCGAGAAGCCAACCAGTCCATTCCCACAATCAACTCATAAGACTTCAAAGGTAAAACCTTGGCTGCTGAAACAAAGGTGCAACTCTGAACAGACCAAGACAACTGATCAATTTGAGAGCAACAAGTCAATTGAGATCCATCAGCTACGATGACCTGAAGGGCAGGACTAAAAGCAGATATCCCAGACAAGTGAGAGGCCAGAGCCTGACTGACAAAAGTATGAGTGCTTCCGGAGTCCACCAAAATCCGAGCCAGATGTCCCTGTACCGTGCCCAAAAACTGAATAGCACGAGCAGGATGCGAACTACCTGATGCTGCCATAGAAATAGCCGCGCACAGTGGTGCATCATCTTCCTGGACTGATGCAGAGTCAGAGCGATCATCCGAATGGCAGATGTCCCAGAACTCCTGTAAGACATGGAGTTGGACAGTCTCTGAGCACTTGTGATCGCGAGACCATTTGTCGCCGCAATGGATGCAGAGGCCTCGAGCTTGGCGGTAGTCGCGTAGAGTGTTCAGCTTGGACTCAATCCCATGGTCGCACTTATCAGCAGGCACAACTCCTGGCGCGGACGGCTTGTCCTGGCGTTCAGGCCGGAGGGGTGGCAGAGGCAGGGGCAAGGGACCCCGCGGTGCCGCCTTGGCGAAGGTGAAGGGCTCCGGCCTCCGGACGTCTCGCCGACGACCCGACTCCACCAATTCTTCCTGCAACAAAGCGAGCATGCAGGCAGTATCGAGAGTAGCAGGGCGTTGCAAATGCACCGCAACACGAATATCAGCACGGAGGCCATCAACAAAACGCATGGCATAGTACAGAGGATCAGTATTGCGACCATAGGCTATCAACTGCTCAACTAGCCCCGTATACTTATCAATATACTCCTGCACAGACCCAGTTTGGTATATGTGGAAGAGCTGGCGGATCAGAAGAGCATGCTGATCCTTGCCAAAACGCTCCATGACAGCTTGACAAAAGAATTCCTAATTTCCCTGACGAATATGATCTTCCACGGACTGGAACCAGCGAGCCGCTGCTGCAGTCATGTGCATGGTGGCAACCTTAACCCAGCGGCGGTGTGGTACCGTGTACATGTCAAAATAATCCAAACAACGCCCTAGCCACAATTTTGGGTTCTCTCTATCAAATGGGGGGAAAATTCATTTTAGGTATGTGTTCGTGAGTTCCCTCCCTAGACCAATTGCCTCCAGGAACCCCTTCCCCATGCCAAGAGCGACGCGGAAAACCATCATCCCCACCCGAGCCACTGGGCACACCCGCTATGAGGGCCGATCCAGAGTAAGAGCGAAGCAACTTGGGTTTAGGATCAGGATTGGATGGAATGAGCGTACCCTTGACCGGGGATTGAGTTGAATACTCGAATCCCCGGTGACTTGATTCCTCGCGGGGCCCTAACGGGCTGAATTTGGTCCAGCCGGCAGGAATCGTCGCCGCAGACACCTTTGGGGGCGACGGCAGCACTCCGGTTGGCACGGCCGCCGCGGCGTCGAGG